GGGTTAGTCTGTGAGCCGATACGTCTTGCTGTCAGCCAGTGCTGCGTCCTCGTCAAAAACTGGGGATGATAGGCCCAGGACAGGCGTGGCAAGTTTGGCTGACTTGATCTGATTGGGCAGGAGGATTAAGTTAACCCTATCGTGGATTATCCATCTCCGTGCTGAGAAACGGCGTTCAGGTAAGACAACGCCCCTTTTCATTTGGCTTCTTGCAGAGCCTGAGATTGATTAGAGCTGAGAAGGAGTGAGTGGCCCAAGTTCACCCAGTGGATTTCTGTGCACCATTCTGTAGAGAATGGTTCAAGCCATCTTCTGAAAACATGGCTGTTCCTGTTTAAGGATTTAGTCTGCATGTAATGAAGAAAATTGAACACTGACCTAGCCCCTAACTGGTGGTAGTATGTGAAAATAAAAACAACATTTTGAATTTTATCTTGAAGATAATCCTTGCTTTTACTTTTTTCAGCTGTAATATCTAATTTGTTGTCTTGTGGATCTACTACTGGGGTAAGATCTGGTAACTGAAATACGGTTATATTCAGAACTATCATTATGATTACTGTTCCCAGGTAATACTAGAGTGAGAGGATATTATTATTTTCAGTTTATGGATAAAGGTTGGGAGCTGAACCTGATAGGAAAGAAGAAAAGATAGATAAAGACACAGACCAGTGTTTTGCCAAAAATGGAATGCAAGTCCAGCTCCAGTCATCTCTTTGTTACCATGTGCTTGTTTACAATGAAGTCTCTGCAAAGTAAGATCTAAAGACAGAAATGACTGCCATTTCTCAACCGACACCAGTTCCACTTGTGTTTGTGGTATGCTAATAAAGCTGTTTTGTATTTTTAGGTTATTGGATTCTACTTAAAATGGAAGTTGACATTAATGGAGAGGCCAGATCTATGCTAGCCCCTCTCCCCTTGCCTATTGCTGAAGTGAGTGCTGCAAGCAAAACAGACGAGAAACCTCGCTGCTCCAGCACCCCATGTTCACCAATGCGCCAGACTGTTTCAGGTTATCAAATCCTCCACATGGATTCTAACTTCTTGGTTGGCTTCACTACTGGAGAGGAGCTCCTGAAATTAGCCCAAAAGTGCACTGTAGAAGAACAGAATAATGTTGAAATGATAGGGCCTACTTTGCGTTCCAAACAGCTTGATTCAGGACTTTCTCGTTCTTCCCGAGTGTGCAAAGCCAGAAGCAGGTATTACCAGCCTTATGAGATCCCAGCGATCAATGGCCGTAGAAGGCGACGGATGCCCAGCTCAGGGGATAAATGCAGCAAGCCACTACCTTATGAACCATACAAGGCATTTCATGGTCCTTTGCCCCTCTGCCTTTTCAAAGGTAAAAGAGCTCA